TCAAGCTTTCTGAGCTCCACCACTGCTGCCCAAGCTCACTGCAGCCACTCCCCTGCCCCTATAACACCTTAGAATGCCAAGTCCCAGGGGGTTAATTCCTATACTTGAGACAACTCTTGCATGAGAACTCAAATAACAAATTGCAAAGCAAGGCAGAACCTGAATTCAGGTTTCCACATCATCATCTTCAAGGCAGCACATCAGATCCCCTCTCATGACCTCGGTGTTACGGCATTCACGTCCCCAGACTGCATTTGGCTCTCATTAAACAGCAAATTAGAGCAACACTTGTACCAATTACTTCTCACTTGTACAAATGTATAATTCTCTTATGCATTGAGAGAATTATCCAACAGACAGTATAAAACATCCTCCAAGAGATAAATGCAAAGCAGGAACATAAAGTGTAGATCAAGAGTTTGCATTTCTTTTCTTTGCTCGGCTGACATTGTCAGGATGAGTATAAAAGAAAAACAACAGAAAAGAGGGAGAGAAATAGTTCTGAATTGGCCACAACAGAAAGCAAGAAATGGCTCACCAAGCTCCTGACCACTGACCACCCTTTTCAGACACACTGCATCATTCAGCCTTTCAACATTCATGATCGGTCAAGTGCTTCCAAAATCTCTGACAGCTCTTAAGATTTCACTTCTTTATGCCCTTGTGTCAAAGGGCTGCAGAAACACCATCCTGTTTGGATACATTCCCAGAATAAGCCTCCTCCAGCAATTAAAAAATACATTATCTAGATCAGCAGTCTTAATGATTTTTCTGACCTGAACTATAGAGCCTGAGAGTTGGACAGTGCCTGGCAAGCCAGTCCTCTGCACCCACCCTCCACCCCAGGGGAGCAGGGAGGACACATCCCAGTGTTCAGAGCTGCAGCTCTCACGCAGGGAGAGGACAGGCCTCAGCTCGGTGGTGATGGGGCCGCTCTGCCTGCCCAGGCAGGAGCAGCTTTCACTGACCATGTCCACAATAAACGTGGGTTTAGGTGAAGGGTTCGCTGGGACAGAGGGAGGGCGGTGACCCCAACTCCCCTCCACACCCAGCCACAGCTCTCACACGTTTATCCTGTCAGCAAGCACAGGGCTCTGTCACCAGGCTGACTGTTCCTCCAGCCGGATACCCAAGACCTGGGCTGACAAGTGTCTGGACAAAGACATTCTCAACTCGCAGCACACTCATTTCCTGTCTCTCAGCTAGCTTTCTCTTTTGCCCCCAAGGAGAGGCTGTGCTGTATCATAATTCATTCCAGGCCACTAGCAGATGTCTGAAACTCCTGGACATTATCTTAGGACAGCCTAACGCTCAATTTCTTTAAAAGACAGGGGAGCAAGTGAGTCACTTTACATACCTTGGCAGCCACATACAAGGCAATGGGTATGTCCAGGAGGAAGTAACATTGTGAACTGGCAGGGAATGGCTACATCTACCCGTTCAACAAGATTGGGTCCATGCTAAAACCTACTGCTTTGAAGACGAAAGGACAAGCATTCATCTCAAGTATTAATTCTGTTCTAACACACGGACAGGAAAGTTGGAAGCCCATCAAATCACAGACAAAACGCTTCCGCATGCAAACGTGTTACAGATGCCTCCTTAGCACTTCTCTAACAAATGCAGAGGTGGTTCCACTCCCTCTGCTTCTCTTCTGGATAATTCTCCACAGACACACTCAGAGCTTTGTGCCGGGCTGGGAAGGGAGGCGAGGGGCTGGGAAGGGAGGCGAGGGGCTGGGAAGGGAGGCGAGGGGCTGGGAAGGGAGGCGAGGGGCTGGGAAGGGAGGCAACCACCGGTAGCAGCAAAGGTGCCCATAGGCAGCTGGGGACACTGCGGGGGAACCCAGGGTGACAAAGCGCCACGGGGATGGGATGTGGTGCCAATGTCTGACGTGGTCTCCCACGGCTCCTCTACAACATACGGCTCTGGGCTGGCGACCTTCCCCTCGTCACGCAGCACGGGTGACAGACTATTTGGGAGAACAGCATCCCTGGAGGGACGGGGATGCCCAGGAGAGCCTCGCCCACCACGGCACCCGCCCTGGCGAGACCCCAGCCCAGGGCACGAGAGCCGGGCGGT